AAGTTTGCTATTCGTCTCCGCTAGCAATCAGAGGAATACAAACGAAAGCAATGACATGACATCTACACCCATCAGATCGTCCAAAATATCACTTTGACACTGGAAAAGAAGGAACTAGGGTCCATACGGATCAACACGGGTAGATCCCCCAAATGTCATGTTGAGAAGAAAAGTATGTATCAGGAAGATACTATTTAGATACAGAAATTACCATTTATATAGATTTTTATTCACAAAATACTACTCTCTGCACATGTGGTACAAAATATCAAAACATGGACGTTTGGAATCCTTCTTTATGAGTAATGTTATGTTCATTTTTCATTACAAAAGGATTTGAAGCAAATATGACAAAGGGTTCATCTTTGTTAATTGCAGGTGGTGGTTATAATGGTGTTTTGTCAGTGTTATTTTTTTGTAGTTTTAATTTTTTATCCAAATTTAAGAGGAAAAGGAGAGAGGGAGGTTTACAATAATTTGGAGTTCAGGGCCTGTGGTTGGTAGGAAGGGTTGCTTGTGAAAGGTGACTGAGTGGGTTTTTATGACCCCAAGATGGTCCACAACTGTATTTGGATTCAAATCCTGATTTCTCTGCCACTGTTCCCAAGACACACACAAGAGCCTCCCTCTTCTTTCTCTTGGGGACCTGTGTCTGTCACACTGAAACTCTCCATCTTCAGTCTCTGACAGCCTTGCCACTTGTCCTCAGTGTCACGCTGTCATCCCCATACCAAATGGCACTGATGAGGACCGAACAGCTTTATTTCTTAGCATTTACCTGCCCAGGCACAAACCAGGTAATTTCACAAAGATCTCACTGAATCAAGATGTTAACAGTTAACAAAGATGCCATAAAACGCCCTCCGTTAAGAACCAGGCATCTTCATCCTGTCTTCTCAGACTCCATAGGGAGAAAAAATGAATACTTTGCAAAGCTATTTCGTAAAATGTTATGTTAAATGAACAACAAATTACTTTTTCTTTTACTAGCTTTTAATGCTAATAGTACCATTTATTCCTGACCTTCAGAAATATGAGATATTTTAAATGACAACATAAAAAGAGTTCTTGTTTGAAAACGCAAGCTATTTTAGATGCATATTATTACTTATAAGTATAGCGTGTGCCAGCATCACTCATTTCATCATCCCATTTATATCTAACTGGTATATATTTCAGTTGACATTTATTGTTCTCCAGCATACGTGTCAAATTCCTTAATGATGACTCTGACAAAGGCGTAGAGTTCGGTATATATAAATTACATTTGCTACCATATAATCAGTGTTATCTATTAGAATGCTATTTGTGACAAATCATGTTCAAAATAAAAATTGAATTGATTTTTCTGTTATTTTAATATTGGGCCACTCACAGCAAGCCTTTGATTGAATCTTAAACACTTTAATGCTCTATTTTTGTTTGAGGCAGATCAGAAATGGAGTTTGCACTATTCACAAAGCTAAAACAATTTGCAAAACAACAAAATCAAATTTCAAAAAGCATCTTTATTTTCAAGCCAAGGGAATAAATTTGGTAAAGCTATCGTTACAGGGTGCACAAGTTGACGATGAACACCTCGCACGCACGTTTAATTTCTATGCATCCATTTTCATCTAAATTAGATTTTAACTTTAATGCAGGGTATGAAAAGCCTCTACAGGCTTTTGTTTCTACCTTTTCTCTCTCGCAATTGCAGGCTTTCTCCCAACTCATCTGAGCCCCACATCACCCTTGTGCTCCTCTCTCCTGGCAGCAGGTTTGAGCTACCATCGCAATGTTTGGGGCACATGGGGGTTCTGTTTCCCAGATCCTCCAAAGGGGTCTCTCTCAAAAGGGTACCTGCTTGACCCATATTGCTTACAAAATAAACCACTCACAAGTAGATCCTGGCTAGCATTATCCCCTTGGGTTAATTTGTGGTTTAGAACAGAGGTTGGCAAATGAGGGCCCATGAGCCACCTATTTCTGTATAGCCCTCCAACTAAGAAGAGTTTTCCATTTTTTTAAGTTTTTTAAAAAAATTCAAAAGAAGACTATTTCATGATAGGTGCAAATAGTATGAAATTAAAATTTCAGGGTTTATAAATAAAGTTTTTTTGGAACACAGCCACACTCATTTACATGTTGTCTACAGCTGTTTTCCTGCTACAATGGCAGAATTAAGTCATTGCAACAGAGATCAGATGGCCTGTGAAGCCTAAAATATTGACTATCTGGCCCTCCACAGAAAATGTTTTCAACCTCTGGGTTAGAAGGAAGGGCCTCAGTAATATACGTCCTGTTAAAAGGGTTGGTGCCTTCAGGGCAGGAGGCTGGGGTAGCATTCAAATAAAACACTGCATTCACGACAATAAATCTAATAGGTCCTCAAAGCATTCATAAGTAGATAAAACGAGGATAAATGGACAACCAAGAAAAACAGAACCCCAACCTCCACAAAACAGCAGATGTGATAAATGTGTGCATGAATTATAAAATAAGTCAGACAAATAGGTCAAAAAATACTTTAAGCATTCACCAAAATTGGGTAGAGTTTAAGCAAATGCAAGCGGTTTTAGGTAAACTGGCATTGGGCAAGGGGTCTCTTACCAGCTGACAGACACCCAGATCCTGGAGTGGAGGCTGGGACTGCAGGAGGACGAAAGCTGCAGCCAGGTGGAAAGGCCCTGGGAGAATTGCCCTTGGTGTGACCTTCAGGAGAACACACACACACACACACACACACACACACACACACACACATCAGAAACAAGGCCTGAAGGACCTTGAGGCTGGGTGCCCAGCTTCTCCAGGCCTTGGAGTGCCTTGTGCCCCTTTCTGATGGTAGCCCAGGCTGGTCAGGAAAGGCAGGGTGCACGCTCCTTCCCAGCCGTTGGAGCATCCAGACAAATCCGGCTTGAATCCAAACAGGGGCATGGGGCTTTTGCTGGGGATACATCAGCCTCCTTTAGGGGGGCCACCTGTATTTTTTCTTGGAAGGGGGCCTCATTTTAGAAGACTGATGGAGGCTGGTATGTCCTACTCGCTCCACACACCCACCCTCTCAGCTGATAAAAAAAGGCTGTCAAGGAGGCAGCAGATGGGGCCTCTGCCTGCCTGGGCCATCTTACCTAATGACAGCTCACCCTTGTGCTCACTCTAGGCCTGGCACCAGGGCAAACTTTGGATATTTGGGGAAGGGGGAGTAATTTGCTTAAGGAACACAGAGGCCTCTGGGAAAGAAGGAGCCAGGACCCCACTCTTGAAACTCTTGCCAGGGTGGACAGGAGGCTGATGAGCAAGGCCGAGGAGCAGGGCGGGGCGATGAGGCCGTCCAGTCTTCAGCCTTAATCGAACCTTTTGACTTCTGCCTTTTCATCATTTTTTTCTAGTGCCTTTAGCTTGGTCAAAAGGGGGCAGAGGGCCTATGAGTTTTATGCCTGCAAAATGCCATGCCATGCTCGTTGTGTGCGTTATCCCACTTAATCCTCCCAAAAATCTCATGAGGAAGGGACTGTCATTTTATAACAGAAAACTAAAGGCTTGGAGTGGTTACGTTTCTCTCTAAAGATCACTCAGCAGTTACGTGGCACAAACCCCAAAGCCCAGGTCTCAACACCCTGAACCCCACTTTACTGGCTCTGTTGCATCCATTCTACTGTTGTGTTTCTCATTTATCCTCTCATCTGTTTTCTTTCTGAATTGATTCAATGTTGAAACCATGACTCGTTTACAAGTACTTCGTGTTCCTGTGACAATGGCCACAGAGGAGGCCCATGGGATGTGGCAGCGTGACATGAAGTTTACATGTGCAGACACTGGCCTCAGATTGCCTGGGTTCAAATCCTGGCTCTGCTGCTTACTGTCTGTGTGACCCTGAGCAAACTGCTTAACCTCTGTGTGCCTCAGTTTCCCCATCTTTAAGATAAAAACACTTACACTAATTAAATAAGCTATTCTAGGAAAGGGGCTTAGACCAGAGCCTGACATAAGCAAGTTCATGAGCAGCTGCTGCTGTTGCTTTGTTATTGGCCAACCACACCTGGTCTGCCCGCCTCACAGGGCGGAAGCCCCAAAAGAAAAGGACGGTGGTGAGAAGAGCATGTCATTAGGGGCCAGGAGCCCTGGGTCCTGAACCCTTTTCTGTTAATAACTCACTGTGTGGGCTCCAAGACATCACGCTCCAAAGCCTAACCCATGTCAGCAATTTCCCCAGCTCCTTTTACCCCAATGGTAATTGACGACAATATTTACTGAGCTGGTGTGGGCCAGGTTTACCCACTTCATCGCTTGATCTTCATACCCACACTACTGGGTAGGCTCTTTTGTCATCTTCATTTTACAAAATAGGAATTTGAGACTCAGAGAGGGTAAGGAGAGCTTCCACAGTCACACAGACAGAAAAAAGCAGATCTGAATTCAGAGAGTCTGCCTCCTGGCCACACACTTCACAGCTGTGCTGGAGCAAAGTTAGAGCCGTGACTGAGATCCTCTACAGAGCCAGCCGGCCACTATTCTGTGAGTTGGGGAGTGAGGGCAGGAACCGGAGCATCCTCTCCCAACATCCAGCCTCTAGGGGAACTGTCAATTCTTGCACAGACAGAGAAAGAAGTGACCTCAAAGGAGCACTTTAATTGCCATGAAAGTCAAACTGTCCCAACAAAAGGCCTCGTTGTCATAAGAAAATATACAAACCTGCACCCTCTGTCTCTTTAGCATTTCCAGACTCAGGGAATTGTGTCTTATCAGGTAATGGAATTGTTTTTAGCGGCAAGAATGAGCTCATTACAGATGCAGCTTGTGCTAATAATGATAATTTGCTGTGCAGTAAAATCACCTCTCTACCTGCCCCGACAGACGACGCTTGGGAAATTATAGGCTAGGGAGAAACAGAAAGGATAAAGATTAAGAAAAAGACTCGTGATGCGGAACTGCTTCAACAAAAGGAGTTACAGATTTGCACATTGAACTCGGTGATCTTAATCATGAAGTCGTAGGGGAATTAGATACTATTAAACAATTCTTTAAATTGCCTTTATTCAATTTTGTTACCTCTGTCATTGGGTGGTTGTTTTTTGTTTTCGTTTTACAGCTCAAGCCATGTTTAAAAGGTTGGTGCCAAATGAATTAGCCAGTGACTTCAAGAGTGATCCACGATATGATCCTGTGGATGAGATCAAGATGAGGGCAGTTAGAAGGAGTCGTTTTAATCCTGGCACCCCTTAATTTCATGGGCAATGACCTCAATAACCTTGAGCCTAGAGCAGTCATCGGCAAACTCTGTGGGTTTGGGAGAGGGGACACAGCAGATATACCTTCCGTGTCACTCACTTCAGAGGGGCCCGCAGAGCTGCAGCAGGCTGGACCACACCGCCCCAGGCAGGCGAGGGGTCTGTCTATCTCCCAGTTTCCTTCCTGGGACTGTGGAGTCACTTTCCCAGTGTTTTAAGAAAGCTGGAAAAAATCCTGACTATTCACTGAGCTTTGCCAAGCTCTTTGAAGAGACTGCTACCTTCTATTGAGATGTGGCTTTTTTCCTTTAAGCATACAATCTCTAAAAGATTAAAATATCTTTTAATCAATTCACAGAAGGATGTAAAAAATAACGTTTTTCTCCTGATTATAAAAGTAATACCTGTTGGCTGTGGAAAATTGGAAAAAACACTAACAAGAAAATAAAAATGACCAATAGCACCATCATCCAAATAACCACTGGTAGCATTATGGGTTAGCTCTATCTAGCTCTCCTCTCTTTTTTAATAAACAAAAAACAGTATTATAGTGTGTGAATATGTGTGTGTGTCCACATGGGTTTGCCGTTATTGTACAGTTTTATGGGCTGCTCTTTTCATGTACTGTATCATAAATATTCTTCCACAACAGTATTCTTCTGTCACGTTATTTTTTAATAATGGGATGTACTGTAATCCCACGTCCCACGGGGTTGGGTTGTTGCCTTGTTTTGTAGGAAAAATCACCCTTTACACACACCCTTGGTTGTTTCCCTGGACAAGGATTCTTAACCACTTCTGTGCCAGGGCCCCTCTGGCTGTCTGGTGAAGCCTGTGAACCTCTTCTCAGAATAATGTTTTTAAATGTATAAATACATGAGATTACAAAAGAAACTAATTATATTGAAATAGTATCAAAATATTAAAAAGAACAAATTTGTGAAATAGCCATATGAGTCTCTTTATGCATATATTGAATAACAATATTTTAGAAAGTAAATATAGGAGCCCTAATAACTACAATAATTATAAAGTAGTGATCAACAGTAACACGACTTCAAGCTGTTTGCAACAAATATGAAATGGAAAGATCTGCGACTTCTACTGGGTTCGGGTGACAGAGCGGCCGTGGTTTGTTGCCTACACTCGTAAATGAAGACAATACTAAATTCCCCTTGGAGGTGAGTGAAAACAAAGGCGTAACTTTTTTCCAATCAAAGTCAAAGGTTTGACTCCTAATTTCTACCCATGGAACCCTGGGGGCGGGGGGACCCTGGCGAAAATTCCCGCCCTGGGAAAAACTCCCAGGAGTAGCTGGCTGCCTCTGTTGGCTCTGCACATTTTTGAGCCTTTTGATGCCAACGGCCTCATTGCCCCAGAAGCTGCTTTCAATTTCTTCTGAGTGCCAATGGCTGCAGAGTGAGGTCAGAGAGAGTGCCTGTCAGTGGCAAGAGGACGTTAGCCAGTGTTACGGCTTGAATTGCATCGCCCAAAAAACAGACGTTGAAGTCCTAACCCCCAGTGCCTCCGAATGTGACTTATTTGGAAATAGGGTCATTGTAGGTGTAATCAGCTAAGTTAAGACAAGGTCATAATGGAGTAGGGTAGACCCTAATCCAATGTGACCGGCGTCCTTATAAGAAGACAGTCATGGGAGCACACAGAGACACAGGGGGACACCAGGAGATGATAAAGACAGAGATTGGAGTTACGCACCAAGGAACCCCAAGGATTGCCAGCAAACCACCAAGAGCCTGGAAGAGGCAAGGAAGGATTCACCCCTAAGGATCAGAGCGAGCACGGCCCTGCCAACACCTTGCATTTAGACTTCTAGCCTCCAGAACCATGAGACAATAAATTTCTGTTGTCTTATGCCACCGTTTTGCAAGAAACCAATTTTGTCCTGTTTGTGTAAGCAAACAGCAGCACTAGGAAACTAATACAGCTGGCGCCTGCCAAGCTGGGCTCTCCTGGGGACTGGGATTCTGAAAAATCTGGGTTGGGGTGTGTGTGGTCTCTGTGCAGTGTTGCGAACTGCCAGCCACCACCCAAGATGGCAGACAAGGACCGACTGATTAGGGGGCTGGGCTAGGGCTTCAGTCAGAGCCTGGTCCGGGAGCACCATGTTATCTTGAGAGTCAGGAAGAGAGGGGCCCCACCCCGGAATTCTTGAGGTCAACATAACCTGGAAAAAAACCAGAGAAACCTTCAGCATGCTGAGAAGGATCCTCTTTATTCCCAAAGGACAATAAAAGGTCTTCAACATTAATCACACGCTGTTGCCAACCAGTCAGGGTGCAGACGGCAGTTAAAAGAATTCTTATGTTATGAAATGTCCTAGTGCCTGCTGGGCTGTGGGTGAGAGGCTGATTCTCACGTGAGAACAGTAAGCTGTTGAGCCCCCCTAAAAGTTCACCTCTCCCTCGGAGGCTCTCTGCTGCTAGCCTTCTGCATACTTTGCTGAGGACAGCGGCTCTAGATAAATCTTCCTACTGCGTGACAGATTCGGTCTGTCAGTACTGCCATACGTCACTGGAGGGCTGGGATCCTCTATCAGGGGTTTTCCAAGGGCGGGACAGCTACCACCTGGAAGAGAAACCATCCCCAAAAGTTGCAGACAGGTGGCCCAGCTAAGCAGAGAAGCTACTGCAAACATTTCATCCCCTTTTTAAAAATAGTAGGAAGGAAAGAGAGTCCTCCCTTACTTGGAACAGAGAAATCCGGATATTTTGGCAGCAGCCCTTCGTGCTGCAAAATTTTTGGAGGAGCAGGAGGAGGTTGTGTGGACTTAACTCTGTATATTCTAAAGTAAGAACAAAAGACATAGAGTTACTCCTTTTATTAATAATACAACTAAGAATAAATATGATCTGTGCGGGTCCTCTGTGAGCACAGGATGTTTACTTCTAATCCTTACAATTTATCCTAAAGGTAAGGATTATCATCTCCATTTTACAGAAGGGAAAACTGAGGCCACAAGAACCACCCCATGCAGTACCCTACCATCTCCCTCCCTTGGCACCCTTGGGCCTTAGGTTGCTGCCAGGACAGGCGGCCCTGTTGGTTTTACTCCCAGCCTCTCCCTGCAAACCAGCAAAGGCCACAAGCAGGGCTTCTGGAGAATGTGGGCGCAGGTGGGGAGCAGAGGGTGTCTGCCTACTGGGAAGGCTGTACAGTTACAAACAAGGCCCCTTCTGTAAAACCAGTCAGACACAAAAGCAGTCTTAGTGCTGAGCTGGGGGCATCCCCGAAACCCTGGGAAGAGATCTCTTCTTCCCCTGGATCCTGTCACCTGCGGTTACACCCCAGGCCAGACTCACTCCTCATATGGCTTCAGATGCACTCTCTTGGCCTGCTCTGTGATGTCCAGGAAGTCCTTGTAGCAGTTTCTGGCCATGACAGTGTACCGTGTGGCGCAGCCTAATTCAGTGACCCTGGCTCTCGGCAGGTAGCCCGCCCAGCCAGGGATCGGAGGCTCCTGGAGAGGTTTCTTTACGTACTTGCATTCTGTAAAAAGACACCATGCTCCCTGAGGGCTTTGAGAAGCCACAGGGTGGGCAGTGCTCTCAAGTTAGCTGGCATCCCAACAGTGAGCCCCAGGGGAGCCCCTTGGCCTCTACATTCTGGGTGCCAGCACCTCGGTAAGGGGTTTCGATATCATCTCTCACGTCATTCTCTCACAAACTGTAAGACACTGGTGCCACTATCCTCTCCACTTTATTATGGAGGATACTGAGACCCTGAAGAGGCTAGGAGAGATTTGCCCAAGGTCACACAGCAAGGAAGTGGTAGGGCCGGGATTCAAACCCGTGTCTGTCTGATTCTCAAATTCTAGCTCCTACACAGATCCCGCTCCTTTCTCAGACTAGTGAAAAAGCTTCAGACATTGCTCTTTGACAGTTTACATAAGGGGATCAAGGGAAGCATCCAGGTCATGAGAAAGCACGTCAGGCTCAGGACCGGGAGCCTGCCTTCAGGTCACAGACAACTCTGGCTGGCTGGATGGATGGCCTCCGGCAATTTCACATTTGAGAGATGAAAGATTACTGCCCCATCTGCCTCACCCGGTAAGAATCGAACTAGGCCACTGAGCCCCAGAACCTCAGAGCTGGAAGGCACCCCAGGGAGCACCTAGTCCATCCTTCCCTGCTCTGATGAAGGAACTGTATGTAACCCAGAGAGGGGAAGCAACCTGCCCCAGGTCACACAGCAAATAGTTGCAGAGCTGGGCTAAATTCCAAACTCTTACGCAGATATTCTTTGGAATGGCTTGGAAATTTTTAAAGCCTAAGAAACATGTGAGTTAGCACGTGTACCTGAAAAGTCCCCAAACAATGATAGTAATAATAACAAAGGTAATCCGTCCATCACATTTCCTATAGGTCTTTAGACCTTAAAAATGATCGAGGGCAAAACATTGTTGTGACTATTAACATTATACAGTCACATCGTCAGTTGTTTTTGTCAGTTATTGTGGTTGTTATTCAGTGAAAAACCCCTTCCCACCCAGCTGGTACCTGGAGGAGCTGGCTTCAAACCCAGGTCTGACCCCAGACTAGGACACTACCTCTGGAAGCCTCGCTTTCCCATCTCTGAAAAGGGAATGTGGTACCAACCTCAGAGGGTTGTTGTGGGTGGTTGATGAAATCATGGCGCCTGGCACAGAGGAAGCAACTAAAATGAGGTACCTACTGAGACAGAAGCTGGTGTCTGAACGTCTGCCCAGGGGTCTGAGTTCCCAGCACCCTCTCCCCCGACCTGTGTCCCCCTCCCCCTGGAAATGTTTCTTTCTCAATTTAAGAAACTGAGCCTTTCCATTTTGCACTGCTGCCTGGGGATTTGGAGCCGTGCTGGACTCTGTGCTCCCTGGGGCAGCTCAGTGGACCTGGGGCCTGGCGGGGAAGCGGGGCTGGTTTCTGGGAGCCAGTACCCAGACTCGTGGGGTGGTACTGCCGTTCGTACTGGTGCAGGGCCCGCAGGACCGTCTCCTCAGAGCAGATGGGCTTCAGTTTCGGGGCAGCGGCGACCGAGCAGTGAAATTCCTCCAGCTGGTCTTTATATCGCTGTGTGATCTCCTGGAAGGTTTTCAGACAGTGGGACATGTTGTTCTCGCTGGAGGTTCCCTCGCAGCTAAGGTACGGCACGAAGCCTGCAAGAGTCGAGGGAATCACAGCCTTCAGCAAGGGATTTAGAACCTGCCTAAACTCCCCAGAAGCCCAGCCCACCCCTTGGCATTTCTTCCTTGGCCAACCACACTGCATTCTTCCAAAGGCCATTAATACAAGCAGTACTGTTGTTTCCACTGCAGCTGAGCCCTCCCAAGGCCACAAAAAACGACCTTGGAGCTAGGGAGGGAAGGCCCGTTTCAACAAAGGAGATGACAGTAATATTCTTTGATAGCAAAGCCCCTGATGTCAGCCTGCACGGCAAATGGGGAAAGCATTTAATGGGCCAAAATGATAGTCTGAGGAGTAATTGAAATTATTCTTCTTTTTAGAGAGAAAGCTTATTTTCCTTGACACTTCCCAAATGCAATTTGGGATCTTTCTTGTCGGACCATCGGGAAATTGCGGGCTTATGAAAAGCAGAGACCTATTACACAAAAAGGTAAATTCATTATCTGAAAGACCCACCCCTAAAACAATTTTTCACCATTTCCCACAAAATAACATATAATCATTACAATTAGTAAGGGTAAAACACAACTATTTATTTAAACGGGATGCTGAATCCTAAGTACTATAATATCGTCACAACAAAACCTTTTTTAAAAACAACAAATGAGGAAAAACGGGTTAAGAACTTGGTTTTAAAGTGGAAAATAAATAAGTAAGTAACTCTCATGATTGAAGCCCAGCAGTTTGCTTTGCCTTTAGGTAAAGAAAAGCTGACTTCAGAGTTGCAAGCAGCGACCTCCACCCCTGCACCTTGCAAGAAGCTGCCTCTGGAAGAATCTGATTACTAGACTGATCTTGAAGTCCTCCATCCTCCATCCAGCCTCCCCAACCCTTAGGCAACGAAAAGACACCTTAATGTCATGGGGGAGACCCCATAACAGGGGCTCTGCCACAGTGGTTTCTCCTCTATTAGGGCCTACTTTGATCTTTATAGATATTTTATAATTGTATACACACACACACACACACACACACACAAAGGAATACAAGCTATTTTTATTGAGTCTCGCTAATGTCCAAAAACAATCTCATGAGGAATCTATCATTACTCCATGTAGTGGGTTGAACGGAGCCCCCCAGATAGATATATCCAACTCCTAGCCCCTGGTACCTGTGAATGTGACCTTATCTGGAAATAGGGTCTTTGCAGATGTAATTAAGGATTTGGAAATGAGATCTTCCTAGGTTAGGGTGGGTTCTAAATCCAACGTCTGGTGTCCATACAAGAGAAAGGAGAGAGAGACTTGAGAAACACAGACACAGGGACACAAAGCAGAAGGCCACATGAAGAGTCCTGTGAAGATGGAAGCAGAGATTGGAGTGACAAAGCCACAAGCCAAGAAACGCCTGGGGCCACCAGAAGCCAGAAGAGGCAGGAAGGATCCTCCCCTAGAGCCTTTGGAGAGAGCGTGGCCTTACACACACCTGGATTTCAGAACTGTGAGCAAATAAACATGTTTTAAACAGCAGCCCTCAGGAACTAACAAACCCATTTTATAGAAATGTTTGCTCACCACAGACAGCTGAGTAACTTACAATCACATACACAATGGTCAAGCAGAGATCGGACGCTCAGTTTGCTAGAACCAACCAGTAGGACCAGAGTGAGGTTGGGCAACCTTGGAATATTCTCCACGGATCTCTTCTCCTAAGAACACCTGTAGGTGAGAGCTGAGGGCCTATGGGTTGTCACGGGGACGTGACTTAGTAAATTCTTAGTAGCCCAGAAGCCTGAGGAGAAGAAGCCTTTAGGTGGGGTGACCAATTGTCCTGGTTTGCCAAGGACTGAGGGGTTTCCCAGGAAGTAGGACTTCCAGTGCTAAAACTGGGACCATTCTGGTCAAGCCAGGGCAGTTGGTCACCCTCCCTTTAGGGACACACGAAGGATGGACCATAAGAACAGCCCTAGAGCCAGATTTGAGAAAGCCCAGCTTGGGAAGAACGACAGGGCTTCAGTGGATTCACTGTGTCTATCCTCTTAGCACTGTGTCTATCCTGGTCCAAATGCATTCAACCAACATTAATTAAGGGCTTCCCACATACCAGGCCATGTCCTGGGAGATCTGGCCTGTTATATCTCGCCATTTATCAGAACCCAGTTATCAGCCATCTTCAGCAAAGGAGTGCTCGCAGCAAGTCTCTTAAAAGCTCTAGTACTTTGTACTGGCCCACCTGGCGAGACAGACATGGACAGTGGGCCAAGGCAGGCACAGTGACCCGGACCACGGTTCTCCTGCCAGGCACAGCTGCAGGGCACACCACCACTTACCACAGTAGCCTGGTGTGATTGGCAGCTGTCTCATGAAGGTCTTGGAAGACTCCATGATTTCTCTCTCTGTTAAGGAAGGGAAGAGGGAAGGAAATTGTCTCATCAGACATCCCTGCCTCAGGAACTCATTGTGTGTTTGCTAGAGCCCTTGGGAGTAGAATGACCTTGCCAGGGGGTGGGACAGAGAGGCAGCACCACCATCTTACACAAAACCAGCAGATATCACTGCCTTCAGTTATAAAACCAACGGCACCATACCAAGGGGCCTTCACCATTTAGGTTAACTCAGATAACAGGTATGCAGATCAACACCCACCAGCATCTCCCCTCCCCTGGGGCCCTCCTCACATCCACCCAACGTTCTATCCGTCCACCCAACAATCATGAACTGAACACACACTGGCCACCGCTGTGACAGAGGTTAGGAATATAAAGATGAGCAAGACCTAGGATCCCCCATGTAGGACTCAGGAACCTTGGGGAGGGGAAGAGATGAGGCACCCTCACCCCCAGGGCCTTTCTTTATCCAGGTGCAATCAGGTTGCAGTGGCGATTTTTGCAGCCCACCCCCACCCCACTCTCAGGACCTCTGGCAGTGTCTGGAGACATTTTTGGAAGATGGGGTGCTGGAGGATGGGGTGCTAAGAGTATCTAGTGAGTAGAAGTCAAGGATGCTGCTAAACACACTACAATGTACAGGACAGCCCCGCAACAAAGGAGTAGAGCAAGTTCTGGCTGGAAGGGATCAGAAGTCCCCAAAAGCTGGCCTAGAGTCCAAGGTGGGTGAGCAGAGGGTGGTGGGTGGACCACTGGAGCATCCGTTTTTGTTGATGCTAGCTCCCAAGCCAGACCCCTTCCCGCTCCAGGGTGGCCTGTGGTCTCCCCAGATGAGCCAGGTCCTGCATCTCGCTTCCGTTGATGCTGCCAAGTCCTACCCTGCCCAGCCAGTTCATGTCTCAAAAGGGATGCCCACGTGGCCAGGATAAGCAGCCTCAGGGGTAGAGGGGAGGGCCACAGTGAGGGCTAGGCAGCAATGATGGGAATTTTTTAAACAGTTCAGACATTCATAGAACACTCGCTATGACACGGGTGAAGGCAGGACTGCATTCTTAAATCCTCACAGCCGCCCTAAAGGTTAGTTCCCATTGAGTCTCTATGTTATAGATGAGAAAAATAAGGCACAGAGAGGTTAAGTAACTACTTTGAGGGTTCTTGCGGCAAGGAGATGTGAATGGACCACCTCTAAACTCTGAGGGCAGGATTTTGTTGCCCCAAAGTGTGGCGCCGGGGAGCAGAGGCGCCCGGCACGGCGCGGGTGGGTGGTAGGCTGGGCAGCTGCGGATGCCGTACGGAGGCCCACCTGGAGGAGGCAGAGGAGAGAAGCGTGGAGCAGAAGGCTGCCGGGGCTGGGAGCCTGGGAGGGGTCAGCAGCGCGGACACGTCCCCGCCCCGTCCCGCGTCGCTCACCTGGACGGGCCTAGACCGTCGCCCCCGGGCCTCCCGCCCCGCCCGGCCTACGCCCCGCCTCCCGCCTTTGTGCGCTCAGCCCCCGGGGCGGGGCGGAGGAGGGCCCCCCCCACCCCCCCGCCCAGTCTCCCCTCCCTTTCCTCACCCTCACACCCGGGCAGGTGAACCCGAGGAATGCGGGGCGCTCACCCCTGCGCCTCGCTCAGCGCCCTTCGGGGCGTGAAATCCAGGGATTTGCCCACCACGTAGTTGGCCTCCGAAGCTGTTCTCCATTCTTGGTGCATGGTCTCCCCGAGCCGGGCGGGGTCCCTCTGGGTTTGGAATTAGGGGGAGGGGCATGCGAAGGCACCAAGGTCAAAGCTGCGGTTTACCGCTGTGGACACGGGGTGGCCCAAGGGGCGGCCTGGGTTGGGCCGGGAGGCTGGGGTGGAGCGGGAAGGTTGGCGGGAACAGGCCTTCCTCCCGGGGCTATGGGCGGGGAGCGGACCCGCCGGGGGCGGGGAGGAGCCTGGGAGGGAAGGAGAGGCCTGTGTCCTTGGCAGCTTCCCCTGGGCTTCTCACAGCCCTGTCCCCCGAGCCTTCTGTGTCTTATTAGGAAGGACGGGATTTCCAAATGACACAACAGGTCCAGGGGCAGAAGTGGGCAATGCACCAAAAGGAAGGAAGGGGCGCAGGGCAAGTGGAGCGGTACTCCTTTCTAACCATCCTCAGCTTATGGGAGCTAAGGGGCCTGAACTTTCCCCTCATTGGAGTGAAACCAGGATGCCCGCTCTGGGACCCCGACAGAGGGCCGCAGTGCACAGACTGCTAGTCCCAGCCGCTCCTGCCCAGAGAAGGAAACCACCGAGGCCTGACTGCACTGCTTTCCCAGTGGCGCTTGTTCGTTCGTTTGACTCACTGCACCTCAGGAGCCTTCCCTACCTCAGCCCTCCTGGGGAGTGACCTTCAGGTGAAGGCTGATGGAGCTACCCACTGAGGAAGAACCCATTTATACCCTCTCAGCTTTCTAAGACCCCCACCTCAGGCTATCCAGAAGCTTCTAGAGCCAACTTTGGAGGGTGCCCCAGACACCAAGCATGGAACACACCCGAGGTTCTAGATGCAGCCGCCAGCGTGGCCTGCCTGCCAGGATACCAGAGGGCAAAGCTCTTCTCCTAGGCCTTCTGCTTTTCTTTCACGACCTTCATTCCGGTGCAGTGGAGTTGTTGGTGGCCACCCCGGCTTATCTGCCTTTCTTTTTCTCTGGCTAGACTGCTTTCTTCCAGCCTAGAGGGAAAAGGGGCTCATGGACATTGATGGAGCCTTGGTTTCCAGCAAACAAAGAGGCCAGTCTTGTTGGAATGAAAATTAATAAAGCAATCTCCACCTGCCGTGGGGTGGAGGGGGAGGGTCAGTAATGATCTATCTGTAATTCCATTTACAAACTCAGAGTGCAAAAAAAAAGAAGTCTGGGCTGCAGGAGATCCAGAGTTTTGCTTTATTAGACATCTGCGAAGACAGAAAATTTGCAGATACGATCTTGTCAAGTTGTGAACTGCTGCAAAGTTCTGTGAAGTCTGAATTTATCTTGTAGTGAACAAGACCCCAGTGACTGATATTTTCGAATACTGTTCCATATTCCAAGCAGATGAGAGGTGTGATGTTACGGCCAACAACTTTTATACTAGTCAACCACTTAAGCCACTTCCCAGCATAAATATGCAGCTTAATCACAGCTATTTCATCTCTACAACGTGAAGTTCGATCTTCGACTAATAGTGCATTTTGACTCCTGTTTATATTGGTGCATGCGATTGTTTGCCACCCTGGCAATTAACCAGACCTGGACTCTAAAAGCTAAACTTGATCTAAATAACATTCTAAGGGTAGGGCAGGCTCTGTAAGGGGGACTCATCTTAGCTATCACTCTGCGAAAACGCTTGTGTGCCTCCTCTTTACTATTTGTCTGTCTGTAACTTGTCTCTCATTCAGCATTTATTAATGCCTGCTGTGTAGATAGAGGGCAGTGACAAAGGAAATCCTTTGATAATTCTGCTTCCAAGAATGACCACCAGGTAATACGCCAGGGACAATTGAGTAATGGGTCAAGACAACAGGCCTTTTAGAAACTTTCTAAGATTAGAAAATGTGTTCAAGTGTACTTATCCAGTGCTCTTATTCTGGAATATTCCTGCGGGGATGGAGGGGGAGGAGGGATGGGTTTGGGGATTCCCTTTAAGGAGTCTGACGATTGGGGCTACATCGCTGGGGCCAGAAGAAAGTCCAATAAAATTATCACCCCCTCTCCATCAGCTATTTGCCAACACTGCAAATTTCAACCAGCCCATCTAAGAGAAATAGCAGACAAGGAGACATCCTTAATGCAAGGTGGGAAAGACCTTACATTAGCCAAAAAAAGAGGGACTTGACTATATTACTCACTCTTACACTTAATCCAATAGATAAACTGGATTTGTGCACCACTAGACTCCTTCCTTTGACCCGGGTGTTCTAAAACATCACACACGGTGGGACCACACTGTGCCCTCAGTGACTGCTTTGCCCCACAGGAGAGACTGACAACCCTGCAGGGATGCAAAGAGTTTTCGTAGGTTTTTCTGCACAGGTCACATTACTTACAGAACCAGAAGGTTCAGCTCTCAAGGACTGGACAGGAGAATCAATTAGATTATTATGCTCCTTAACCTGTAAGCCTTTGGGAAGGATGTGTGTATAGAAAGGTCTGATGAAGTTGTTCCAGGTGGTCCATTTGTTCAGAGTATTCTGACCCTAGGCACCTCTGTCTATTGCTCAGTCTTGCATAAATAGTCCATCGCTTAATATCGGTACAAATTGATGGTTAGTAAGCACAATTAAGAAATGAAACTGTGGAAAATTAAAGGCAGCAATGTCATCAACAAAATTCAAAGAGCATTTTCTTTTTTTTTTAACAAGAAAAGCACATTGTAGAAATAAAGATTCTGTACAATATTCTAATATTATATGTACATAAAATTATATTACTTATAACTAAATTGAAAAGTCCTATTTGTAGAGAATGGCTGGCAACAGCAGAGACAGACCCAGAACATTTAGCTTTTGAAGCGGAGCAGGCAGAAGAGAACCCTAGCAAACACACCTTTGTACCTGGATACGAAATCCCACCACTGAGTTATGTGACTAGCATTCTCTGGTTCTGCGGTTTGTTCGTGTTTCACATCCCAGGAGGGAATTCTGCAGCAGGCGATGTGAAAAAGACGACATGTTAGGATGAAATTGGAAATGCTACTGAAAATCTGCATATCGGCTATGATAATGAGTCTGTAAATCCACCTTGCATTCGAAGTTAGTTCCCTCATCCTCCCTTCATCCATTATGCATGCCTCCAGTGACTGAAAGTCGGAATGAATTCCAGCAGGTGGAAAAGACAGCTTTGAACAGATCAGAAAGGCTGGGAATCAGATTCTTGATTCTTTTTCCTCTGTTGGTCCCTGAACATTGGAGAAGACTGGCTTTGCAAGTGGGGAAGGAAGGAGAGAACCGAGCCCTTGGTTCCTCAGTCAGCTCTGTCCTTAGGGTGCCTTTCTTCCAATCTTTTTCCTCCCCAGGCCCTTCCTGTGAGGGTTAAAAGCGCCAAGCCCAAGGCAGGTGGAGCCCCAGCCCCACTCACAAGAGGGCAGGGTGTGCGATGATCGCTCTTCACGTGTAAACCCTCTCGCTGAGGGAGCCCGAATGGGAAGACCCAGGCTGCCAGCTCTGGGCTGTGCTTCAGCTTCCAACAAAACCTAAAGTTAAGAATTCTCAAATTTCAGTTGAAACACAGTCACCTGTGGTGTTTACTAAAAATTGCAGATTCTGGTCCTCCTCTCCAAGACTCGACTTCAGTTCGTGAAAGGGATAGCATCCAGGAAGCTGTTTGTAACAAGCACCCAGGCAGTTCTCATGCAGGCGAGCCACAGAACTGCTTTGAAAAAACCTGGTTTAATTTCATTAATGTTGGACAGACTTTAAAACCCGAAGATTTTAATGAAACATTTCATAGAACAGATTCGCTGCCCATGTATCACCAATTTATTCTTTTCAAAATGTGGGAATAAATGGCCAAAACTCTTAGGGAGATGAGGTTGAGCAAGGAGGAGGGAGTTACTTTAAAATATATTTGCTTGTCAAGGCTGTTCTGGACAAGTGGGCTTGGTGATGCGGACAAGGCAAACTGCAGCCTCACCTTCTCATACGGAATCCTCCGAAGGTGAAGTAGAGCTACTTATAAATTCAGAAATCAGGATTTGGCATTCTGGTAATTATATCGCAGCATATGATTACTGACCTATGGGTCAGTAGCTCTTTAATATCCATTTCCCTCAAATCAAGTTTTTACCTGCTAGAAAGTTGAGGTCTCAGCTCTCCCACTCACAAATCCTAGTGGATTAGCCAAAGCTACAGTTATTCTTCATGGAACCCATTTAGAATTTAAATTATGAGACCCTAAAATAGTGCCCAGTGTAGGCAAGCTTCTCCCACCAGCTAAAAATGCTCCAATTCCCACTGAATCACCACTTCGAGTCACATGATAATGAAAAGAAATGAACTACAGATGGGGTGGCATTTTATATTGACTGCCATCCAAAAAGGATAAAAAGGAAAGTCTCAAAGAGATGAAGAATCTCCTCCTTGCTCAAAGATCTCATTTCAAATGTGAAAGACAGCAATAGCTCATCCTAAGTTCTACTTAACGGCCATCTGCTCAAAGGCAAGCTCCGTCACTGCTGCAGAAACCTATTGATTCCCTTGTTGGGTGGGTGTCTCACCACTCTGTACCTATGAAAACTAGCTGCTCTTCTAGGACCTTTGAGTTTCTCATTCCCAAGCCTCAATCTTAATTTCCGACAGTTTTTCTGACTCCAGTGCGCCCTCAAAAATCCCTAATTATTCTACCCCTGGTTGTTCTCATCTTCCCTGCTGAAATTCAGGTGGGCAGTGGTGAGGGGCAGGGCAGGGGCAGAGGTCAAGGTTGAGGTCAGCAGATGCAGGTGAGTGAGTCCAGGGGGGCAGGCGGCACGGGGAGGCCAGTTAGTAATTTAAGAAGTCGATCCCAACCTTGACACTCTTCGAGGTGGCTATATCGATAGCTGTGGCCTTGATCTCGGTGTCCCCGAACTGCATGAGGGTCTGAATCTCCCTCCGAGGGGGCACGGCTGTGCCGCTGGTCCCCGTGAGATCCAGGCGGAGGGTGCCACACTTCTTCACCCCGGGGTCAGTGATGAAGCTCACGTCGTCGTGCTCAGAGCTGTAGATGTTGATGATGATGACCAGCTGGGAGGGCTTGGCCGGAGTGTAGCTACGCTTGACCAGTTCACCCAGGGCCACGGACTGGTCAGCAGAGATGAACTTGTCGAAAACGTCAGTGCACCAGCGAGTGCCGTCCTTCACCAGCAGCTTCTCGGGTGGGTGCTTGCCCTCCACGTAGCGGTTCAGCACGCCCACCCCGTAGGTGAGCGGAGACCGGCGCACCTTGATGACGGCAGGGTCCAGGCCGAAGAGGACGGCACCCTTGAGGATGGTGAGGCCCACGTCCTGGGGGACGATGATGCGGCACTTGTCGCCAAAGGCAGCCTGCACCGCCTGCTGCAGGAGGGGT